GGGAAAGAGGAGGCGTGGGGTCGTCACAACAGTATGGGTTGTGGGACTTTAATTTAATAAAGCAATTTGTAACGGAATACGGAACGAGGCAATAATGGCCAGTCGGCGGGGAGGGTTCTAATGAGCTGCTTACCGCACTCTCCACCCTCTGCCACGATCGAGCTACACGTTTCACGCGATATCCCCTATTCATCTACTTAGAAACTGCGTAAACTCGGGCCAGCCAACTTTCCGTGCCCGGTAATTCGATAAGTCCGAGCTTTTTGCGGAAATTTATGCGTGTCAGTCTTGCCACCCTGTCATCTCTAGGCAAGATTGATTCTCCGCTAGGGGTGCAACGAGGGTGTTATGGTAAATCGCGACGATTGTTCGCTCGAAATTAGATTCGAAGAATATCCCAATCTCGATATTCACGATTTTATTTCTTTGCTAGATCTCGCTGTCATAATTAACCCTTTGCAAGCGAACGTGATACTTCTTTGTTATGAGATTGCTGACACCTTTTAAGGTAATATAAGGCGAAAAGAAATTGCGTATAAATTTATTTACGAAATAGAATTATCTTATTTCAATATTTCTCATATTTCTGTCTATTAATTCCAATTTGGAAATCGGCTACGAATTTTTATAATTTTGTCAGGTGAGTGCGAAGGGTTGAAATGATTCGAGATTATTTATTTCCAAATTATGACTTTCTATGTTCTGTGTAGTTAAACGAAGATACGCAGCTGAATTATCTACACTGACAACCATATTTAAAATCTTTATAATTTTATGAATATCTTGGAAAGATCATCGCGGACCAGAGAAATAATTCTTAGATCGTCATGGGAAGATGCGAACAGGATGAGTGTTTTAAACGATATAAAAATGGAGTCAAATTTTGGACAACATTTCGAAATACACTATAGAAGCAAAGATTTGAGGACAATTTTTATTGCAATGATACAGTAACCGAAAATTAACTGGACGTATTTCACTAGCTCTCGCAGATATTAAACTCCCCAAAACTGGAACCAAAACTCCCCAAACCGCACAATTAATCTCCAACCCAGCAGAATCATTCGAATCAACCAACTGACCCCGAAAAGTACCATGTTTCATTAATAATCTCGCACTTCGAGATCAGTGCGATTTCCGCGCAATTTTCCAAGCTATTAGTTCAGCACGTCAGACGGAGAACCCAAGACACATGCTAATCACGGTTTTTCGCGGTAGATCGTTCGTGAACGTGTTTTCGCCGCGATAATTCCTCCCCAATCTCGCCACTCTGTCACGCGCTGTTCTATTCAGCGGCGCTATCTCCTCCGTAGGATCTTGTATCCCTACAGGAGCCATCGGGATCAGCCGTGAAGGCAAGGATAACGATAACAAAGTCCGCTTATTTGCGGAACGCCGGATCCACGTGGCCGCCACGTGCCGGCGCCCGTCCAGACGCCATGATTGCGGTCTATCGTACAAGTGTTTAACCCTTGAAAGCGTGATTCCGTCAAATTAAACTGTAATCTCCCCTTTTTCATCGGCGAACGATCCTGGGGCATCGTTCATCGTGTTCGACGAGCCGTGGAAAATAAAAACGGTAAAAATGACAAAAATGGTGAAATCATAAAAATAAGAAAAATAGTGAAACCATAAAAATAACCAAAATGGTAAAATCATAAAAATAAGAAAAATAGTAAAATCATAAAAATGGTGTAGATGGTCCTAATCGTTGGAATTATTAGTTAATGAAACTTTATAATTCATGACGTACTAATTACACGCTGGAAGTATAATAATTGTGATAACAGGAATTCTTGGATTCCTCCAGTGATTGAATAATTTGAAGACATGGAAATTTATGAAAATTATGAAAATGGGGGGAATGGAAGAGAAATTCGACAAAACAGAAATCTACAAAATGAACGAAAAATTTATGCAAATATCGAGGATCGTTTTCTCAGATCAAAATTCAAAGATGCATTTGATCAAGTTCATTTTCACGAAATTGTATTTATTTTCTTCAAACAAGTAGTTTGAAAGATAGGTACTAGGTGTAGGTGGTAAAATGTGAGTTAAATTGAATTAATTAGAGTAATTAGAAAATGTCGCCATTTTCAATTTTAACGAAAGAATTTTTGGAAAATAATACTTTATCGATGAGATACTGAAAAGGAATTTAATTTTCCAGATTTTTGACTCGACCTACTCTTGCGGTTATTAAAATATACACGTTCTTACCATAAGTATGAGTTTTTAACGTCGATGAGGTAAATGAAGTCGGGGGCCGAACAGGCTGCCGCAAAAGGTCGCAATCGTGGCGTGTTATCGTGGAATAATTGGATGGTTTTCAATAGATGTGTCGTACAGAACATTTTTGGCGTGTAACGAGATGTAAATTTATGACGCAATTATCGATAGCCTATGTAAATCGTCAGGACGAAACGCGTGGCCGATGGCAAGAAGAATAACGCAAAATTGATGAAGATTAATTGCTTGATAAAAGTGACCGCGACTCCGATTGGTCGGATAAGTTTCGTGATAATGTCGCTGTTCGATCACCACGTAGACAATATCAAAATTATAATCATTTTTAATTCGGAACGATACACTTTTTCGATATTCCGCTTCATGGACTTTGCACAACCCTAACTTGCCAATTTTCATGGTTTCCAAACCCATTAACATCTCGATCAAAATTTCATTTTCCAAATTAAACGATACCTACTTAAACTGACTATTTTAGTCAATTTGAATTTTTCAAAATTCAAACAAACCGAATCACAACAAATTTCTCACAATTTCGACAAGAAACTCATCAAGTATCAAGAAGATTTCACTAACGAATGAAAGTACTCAGATGGGCAATTAATTTTGAAAAAATACGAAATTTAGAAAATTTAGGAAATAGTTACTATCAGAATTATAATATGATCCTTTGTTTCTATCCCAATTGTATTACTTGCAGGAAATCTGGACGAAATTTACTTATGGCCGACTGTGCCGCCATTTTGCCGTGGAATATTAAACTTTCCGAGGAATAACTTCTCACTTGCTTCAGTTATTACAGAGTGCAATACTATCGAATACTAGTGGAAAATTAACTTACCATCTAGGTAATTTCTTTCGTAAGAATAATTCCCTAGATCTTTCTGGAGCCTAAAAGCACAAAAGCTCGTCAACTTCGGGAACCACATATCCGTCAAACACCGATCTCCCAAAGTCCCTATTTGACTGACCAGAAATTTTCCAAAACCTCAAAGCCATCGACTCCGGAATTCCCGAAGATCCCCAAACACGATAACTCACCTAACCCGAGATCCCAAACACAGCAGGTCGCCAATTTGTCCTGGACTCGAACTTCGCGGCTCTCTCCTCTGCTAAGCATCGTATATAACCCCAAAACCGCGTTCGGTTTTCTTCCCAAACGATCCACGGCGATCTCTGCTTGGCCCTAGCGCGCCGGATGCGTCGAGTGGCCGACATCTTTTCTTTTTTTCCCCGTTCAACCCCCGCGGCTGCGGATGAATAGAAATAACGACTCCTGGAAGGGAGCGGCGTGTTATTAGTGCGACGAAGAGAATCCCTGGAAGATATCGATGTTACAGTGTCGCAACAGCTGGGTTGTCAGCAAACGATGACAGGCTCCGGCGGAACCGGCGAACACGAGGGCGGCAAGAAGAAGCACACCAGGCCGACGTTCAGCGGCCAGCAAATCTTCGCCCTCGAGAAAACCTTCGAGCAGACGAAATACCTAGCGGGCCCGGAGCGTGCTAAATTGGCCTACGCCCTCGGCATGTCGGAATCGCAAGTCAAGGTAAGCGTCTTTCGATCCTTTTTCCTTCCTTCATTCCCTCTAGGGGTAGCTCTCTGACGATTAAACGCTCGTTAGCCGGTCCTAGCCTACTGTCCGCGTGTTTATATAGGCTTAGCTTTGGTTTAGGTTCCCTGGTCAGGTTCGAGCCAGGTCTTGGGTACGTCTGACTGATTGGAAAGGAAGATTCGCTCGTGTTTTTGGTTTACCGAAGAATATCACGAGTAGATGGTTAGGCAGATGAATCTTGAAAATGTTACTATGTCCTGGGACATTATCGAGGAAGAGGAAATTATAAGCACAGTCATCAGAATTGATGATCTTCGAGATTAAATTAGACGTAGACTTGGAATATCACTAGGAATGTAATTGGAGTGTCAAGATCACCTATTTTCTTGGTGTACTGAAAAATTTTATAAATGGAGGCTTCTACGACCGTAAAATAATATCATATCCCAGGAAATTATTGGCTGATTTTACATATCCTTAATCAGGGGGTTGATCAGACGATGAGGATGAATTCTTAGTGGACTAAAAATATGACGTCTTTGAAAATTATTAGCTAACAGTGTCTATAGTACAAAATTGATCTTCGCTTGTGAGAGAAATTGGACTTGGAATATCACTAGGGATGTAATTGGAGTGTCAAGACCTATTTTCTTAGTGTACTGACAAATTTTATAAATGAAGGGTTGATGAAAGACGCCATTGAATTCTACGACTCTAAAAATAATATCATAACCCTGGAAATTATTAGCAGATTTTATATATCCTCAAGCAGGGGGTTTAGACAATGAGACTACATTCTTAGTGGATTGAAAATATGATGTCTTTGGAAAATTATTGGCTAACTGCATCTATAATACAAATTTGATCTTCCCTTATGAAAGAAATTGAACTTGGAATATCACTAGGGATGTAATTAGTGTATCGAGACTTATTTTCTTGATATATTGAAAAATTTCATAAATGGAAGGTTGATGAAAGATACCATTGAATTCTACGATTGTAAAAATAATATATCCCTGGAAATCATTGGCTGATTTTATATATCTTCAAGCATGGTGTTGATCAGACGATGGAGCTAAATTCTCGGTGGACTAAAAATATGATGTCTTTGGAAAATATTGGCTAACTGCGTTTACCGTTTTGTACAAAGCGTCTCTAGTACAAAGTTGATCTTCCCTCGCGAGGGAAATTGGACTTGGAATATCGCTAGGATGTGGCGTTTGCGCGGCGCTTTTAATAAACTTTACGCTAATCTCCGATAAAAACGTCCGGATGATTTAAGCGGGCGCCCGGCTAATTATGAGTAACAGATGTAGATGGGTTAATAAAAATTCATAACAGTTGAAGCGTTTTCAAGCCGGCTCCGATATTAATCCGTGAATGATGGAACGGACGGCGGGGGTTGGTGCGTCGCGATAAAAAGTAAAATCAACTTAAACTGCCGCTGTTTTTAACGGCCGCCATCGTTTAATATTTCCTTGTCGGCTTAACCGTTTAAGCGCGGATTACAACCTCGAAAAATCATCCGTTTTAATGACCAGGACTTTTTGCTGCACCCGATCTCGATCCCTCCCGATAGAGAATATCCGTCGATATAATTATTTCGTCCTCCCCGCATTTTTTGTCACGAGCCATGTGTATTTTTCTCATTTTTGCTGCTCTAATTTCGAATACATTGGAAACCGTTCGATTTTATATCGTTAATTCAGCCGTATTACGGGGTATGTATCAAAACCTAGACGGTTGTAAATCACCTGCTAAAATCGTGATTATTAATGGTCTGAATTATAGGATATTCGGTTCGAATTTAACAGCGATGTTTGAACAGAAAGAGAGCAGAGATCTGATTCTAAACAAAAGCATTTTGAATAAAAATATTTTCCTCGTTGCTAGCGTTCCGAGACTTTCCAAGATTCTGAACCGAGCAAACTCCCAATAATTCGTACACTGCACCCACACTAATGATCATATACCAAACCAGAAAAGGAAAAAAAAAAATTCGCGATCTAAATATTTAGAATTTGAACATTAACATTCCCCGCAGCAAGAATTCGAAATTTTTCCAAGATTCGATATCAAGAAAAGACAAATCTCTACTAATTCCTAACTAACTATAACTCCCCAACGACCACGTATGGAATTTAGAAAAAAAAAAAAAAGGAAGAAAAAAGGAAAAAGAGGCGAAATTAAAACGGGTGCCAGATCGCCGCGAAATCCGTCGAAGACCCGTATCATCGCTTAGGCGTCGGGGGGTGGCGGCTGTGGGGCGTCAGCTTTCGTCGTTCTCCAGCCACCCCACTTACTTCCGAGGGCGTAATTTTAAAACGCATTTGTCCGCCGGCGGCTTACTCCATCAACGCCGCGAGCAAGCTTCTAACGAGGCAGCTTGTAAAAAGTTCGAAGGATAAAAGAAGGTGACAAAACAGCCGGAGACGTGTCAAGCTTTGCGGCACCTGCGTCATTCTCTCCCTTCGTGTCTCTCCCTCGCGTGGATCCGATGAAACAGCCAAGAGCGACGAAGACGAACCTCGGAATCCCCGTTCTCCGGGTGACGACAGCCTAGCGTCACTGTTCGTCCTCCTTCTCCAATCCTCCGACACCCTCCCGTCCCTCTTCAACCCTCTTTTTTCACCCGGTGTCTCTCTGTCTATCCGTCTATTTCTCTCCATCTTTTCCACCCTCGTGTCCCCACTACCGGCCCCGTTTCTCTCCCTACCCCTTCAAAACCTCTATTACCTATCTCCCATATCCTCTCCTACACCCAACCACCCCCACCTCCTCCGCGATCTCCAAGAGGAGGTGGAAGCCTCCACTTTTACTCCCGCCTCTCGGAGCTACATCTGTAGTACTCGTGCTCGTGCAGCTCCGAGTTCGAGGAGAATTCTCTGGCAAGGCACTCGAAGCCTCCTACGGCGTGTCCCGTTCCTTCCTCCGGTTCGCCATCTTCGACCCTCGCGGCGGCCTCGCCGTTCCCGAAGCCTCAGCCACCCCACTGCCTTCTGTCTTCTTCTCTTTCGCTCGCTCTCTTATCGTCCTTCTCTTTCTCACCCGCAGCCCCGTTCCCGTCTAACCCTCTCTCCACGGGTTCTCCCTGTGTGTCGCGGCCCGTCGATGTAGCGCTGTCATTGGCTCGTTCTACGCCGCCATATTTACATTTTTATTGAAAGCTACAAGTCTGCGTCGGTGAGTGATGGCCAGGGATGAGCACGTTCCCTCTACGCCCGCGCGCACCCCGCCTGGTCGCGGATGATACCAAGGGGTGGCCGGGTGGGGTTGAAGAGACGGAGAAAGAGAAGAGAGGGAGGGTTAGCATTCAATTACCTCGGATTTCCTCGGCAAGAGGCGATTCACCTCCGCGTATATGCCATCTTCGGGGCGAGATTGCCACCGGATCCACGCCGCGTTTCCCGAAATATTACGACAATATATACCCGACCGGGACGAGTCGCTGATTCAGAGCCATCGATTGCTGGATAGGCGTTGTTTGGATGTGGCTTGATGGTCATGGTGGTGAGGCTGGTATCGAGAGGTGTAGAGGGTAGAGGCTTTTCCAGGGGAGTGGTTGCTCCAGCTTCGATGGGCGCCAGAGCAGGCGAAGACGTATGGTTAGGGTTGAAATTTAATGGAGGCTGTGTTTGTGGTTTTTCGGCTCTGAGTTCTACTCGAATTTTTATGCGAGGGTTCATCTCGATCGGTGGAAACGAGGAGACGCGTGTTTGCAGTTGAAATCTCAGGGGATGCTGGGTTTATATTTCGATGATCGAATTTTTAGAGAAATTTATGCGAGAGAATTGGTCCTAGGGATTTTTGACTTTGATGCTTGAATTTCGTTGGAATTTTTATGAACATGGTGCAATCATATTGGAAAGTATCATAAGAGAAGGATTTAGAAGCAATCTCGATAACAGGCAAAGGCTAGTCTTCGAAGCTAGAACTACCGACATATACCCAATTGGGGGTGCTGAATTTGGGTCCTTAATAATTTAATTTTGTTGGGATTTTTGTGCAAAAGTTTCGACTACTGTCTACAAATCTAAGAAAGAATAAAATATCACAATTTCTAAGTGAGAATTATTTGCAATTTCTAAGTTAGGTTACAGAATCTATATCTATATTTAATGACAAAAAGCTTCATTAAAATCAGCAATGAAGAATAATTTAAAAATAATGTAGACATATCCTAAGCTTTAAATCTAAACCTGTGATTATAATACACAGCAGTATGATAAAAATAAATAGGTCCTATATAAAACTATGTTTCGATCTCACAAAAGTAAAATTCGACATTTCACCAGAATTAATTTACCTGCACGTTTTCAATAATTGAAGAAATTAAAAATCTGCAATCAGTCGTTTTGACTAATTCGGTAGTTCTATCGTAGAATAAGGAAAGTCTCGTCATATCTGGGAACATAAATTCGTCTACGTCTCTATGTCAGAATTGAAAATTCTTATTACAAAGACAGGAATAAGATTGAAGTTCACCGAGAAGAAATTACTATGGACCTGGCGACTGAAATTCTTTCTTGCAAAGCAAGACGGGCTTTAATATTCCCAGTATTTCGCTGGCGCCTTGATAGACGAAAAAAAGATAACAGGAGAAAGAAAGGGACCAGGGTCGGCTAAGCAGTGGGGAAAGGAAATTAAAAATAAGGAAACACGAGGATCGGGGCTTAAAACTAATGATCAAGGTATAATTAGCGAAATGGGGATGAAAGGGGAAAGTTGGAAATTCTTGCAGAAAGGGAGCCCTTATTTCCTCGATCCGTATAAAATATATAAAACCCTTTGGTGAGAAAAATTCCCTAGAAAGGAACATTTTCGAATGAATTATAAAAATCTGAGATATTAAGAAATTTCCTAGTCATTTGATGAAAAGGATATACGAAAAGAACATTTTCCAATGAATTATTGGAACAGGAATATCGAAGAAATTTCAGTCATTCGTCCCTAAATAATTATATAATTATACGAAATTAATTATTAAATATGAT